AGAATATTTCTTAGAAACGCTTGTGGAGAAAACAATTTTGGTGAAGACATTATTGGAGAAGACCGTTCAAGAATTTCAGACGATAAAAACAATATCGACTCAAAATATTAGGGTTTAAGAGATGAAATGAAGAACTTTGTGATTTTTTTAATACCTGAAGTCTAGTTAAAAAGACGTTTCATTATCTTTCTTCTTTTTTGATCAGAATAATTACAGTTATTAATAATGTGGATATAGTAATTAGTGACATGGATGTTTAAAATAATTTCAATTAAAAAAACTAACCAGGGATCTTAATTTTAATTTACTATGAGTCTATAAACACTCTAATAATTTTTTAAAAATATATGTTAGTCTAGTAATATACCATTTTTCTATAATATTCTAGTATTTTTATCTTTTTAAATACACATAAATAAGATAAACATGAACAAAAACCATCACAACAAATCCCTTTGATACCTTAAATACTCTCCATCAAAAGTAAATAAATAAAAAACCATTTGAAACAACGAATAAAAGTGTGACAATGTAATAAAAATGGTGATCCTATACGCCATCATTTTTCTATTTTCATTTAATAACTTCACAGTGACTTACTTTATCCCCATCACATTGAATAAAATTAAACACAATTTTCTACTATTTTATTTCATAGTGTTATATAATGTAAGTACATAGTGATAAAACTTAATATCTAACTTTAATAAAATTAAACACAGTATTCTCCCTCCATTCCCGAAAGTAATATTGTCTAGATTTTATTTTTGTTCCAAAAAAAAAAATAGATTTCTATAGTTTAAGGTACTTTGTATACTTTTAAAAAACATTAATTGAAAATATTTGAATTGATTAAATATTATTGGTTGATAATTATTAGAAAGTGAATAGTAAGAAATATAATAAATTTGATTGTAAACTTTCACTGTATTCTTAAATGTGTAAATATTCTAGAAAATCATTTTTCAGAATTAGAAAACGGATGGAATAACAAAATAAAAGTGAAATAATTTATATAATCATTGAGATTTGTGTATTTAAAGAGTAACTTGAAGAATTTTAATGTCTTTTTTATTGACATAAGGATATCCCATGCTTATGTAAAAGTCCAAACTAATTTTCAAGGAAAAGTGCAAGTAAACATCTTCTCTCTGATTTCGGTCCAATTTTGGTTCGATTTTTTTTCAGTTTTCGCTATTTCAGTTTATAAAAATTAGTTACCATTTTGGAATCATATCGTATTTTTGTTTAATTTGGTTTGTATAACTATCAGTTTTTGGTTTATTCAATTTTAACAAAAAAAAATTATTATATTTAAATTTATAACAAATTTTAGTTTATATAATTATAATCAGATTTACTAAACATAAATATATATTCTTTACTCTAATTTTAAATATAAAATTATATGTTTAAAATATTAAAATACAATAAAGAAAAATATTAATATCATAATATGGATATATAACTATATTTTGGAAAAGCATTTACCACTTAAAATAAATTATATGTTTTTTTAATTTGATGAAAATGAGAATGACAAAAAAAAATTACTAAAGTCGATGCTTTAATTATGAATTTCATATTAATAAATATATTTAATGTATATATTATTCATTTTATTACAATCTTTATATATAAGTATACTAATATATTTTAATTAATCGATTTCTTCGATTTATTCGGTTGGATGAAACAAATATCTATTTATAAACTATAAAATGCTGAATTTTGATAGAAAATTTAAAATAATTTAATATAAAAAATAATCTCATATAATTAGGGTGTATCCATGTAAAAACATGGTATGTGGCTAAACCTATATGATTAAGTGTGATGTATTCGTATGCAAGAATGTAAGAGCATAAAGAAAAGAGACACAAAGATTTGTTAACGAGGTTTGTTTCCTACATCCCCGGGACCACGTCCAGAACTCATCCACTAGAATAGGCTGCAACAAACTATTGCTATATGGTATTCAGCACACACCCGTGCCTACCACCCTAATCTAGAATTACAATGATGAGAGCAACTACTACTCTGACAAGTATAGTTCTCTATAACAAAACTACCAACAAATCTCCATCTGTCTGGTAGGACCACGTCGCACACATCCATGTGCATCTTCAATAAACTCTAAATGCGTGACGGCTTTATCTTACCATCTTGTTTCTTTATACTCCAATAAGAAAAACCCTAGCTCATTAAGCCTACTAATCTTTTTTTAATACATATTTCGCCAGCCAAATATATGGGAATATTCCATATCACCGCATCTTGATGATTCATTTTTATTCTCCGAAGCGTGTGTCACACACCATTATCTGTGTGTAACACAAGTACGCGAACCAAAGCTAGACACACACTATTACATGTATGGAACACAAGTATGCGAACCAAAGCTTCAACACTGTAGCAATCTATCAAACTCCAGATTCTTGAGCTTACAATCCAAAATTCTAGAAGTCAGTGATAAAAAAGCATCTGTCACGATCGATTTTACAACAAATTTCAATCTCATTTGACCATGCACCATATGACAACAATGTACATGTCCTTATCATTTTTTGTATGTGCTTCCATGTTCGAAAACACAGTTGCCACGGCTTCTTAATTGGCTGAGAGGCGTTTGACAGTGTTTATCGTGTCGTATTCAATAAGGGGCCAAAAAATCGCAAGCAACATTTTTTCTTTTTCTTTTTGAGTTTTGAGTGACTAAATTTCAGTAATATATGATCGATCTAGCTTTTTTCTTTAAAAAAAAAAGAAGAAGAAAATACGATATAGATCTATGTATTTGAGAAGTTAATAGCACAAAAGCTCACTAATATTAGATGATAACATATTAACTGGTGCCTGGCGACCACTAAACCTGTAGAAATCGAAAGCCCTACAAATTTTTGGAGAAGATGAAGATTAAGATATGATTATACCCATTCTTAAATTCATTTAAAAAGAAACGGAAAATGAGTCACCTTAGTTCAAAAAAGAAAATGAGTCTACCTCTATCCAAACTTGGGAGTTGGGATGATGTTTAAATAGCTCTATAATTTGTTAGTATTTGTCTCGTAAAGTAGTTAATAATATACATTTATCTAAAAATCAGAAAGATATTTAATTTATTCTCTGATTTAACCTTGATTAATCTCTGAATTTAATTATATTAATTCGTTATGTGTAGACTATCCGTTTGACTCACTCCTAACACAATTCTGAACATAGATGTGGTTCAACATTTTACACGATTGAATCTTAATTCAACAATTGAATTTATTTTTCAACAACCCCACGCGGTTAAATTATTCGAGTTCATTGGGAATCTATTCAAGTAATATGAAGTAGGAAAACATTTGGGGGGCTGGTTCTTGGCTTCTTGATCTAATCAATGGACTCTTTAACTAATACTCCTTTCGTTCCACAATATATGATATTTTATCCAAAGCACAAGAATTAAAAAACTTAACTTTTTAAAAGATAACATCATTGATAGTATAAATTTAAGATAAATTAATCAATCATAAATAATAAATTAAAATACTATTGGTCAACCGGTTTTCTATAAAGTTAAAGTACCTTAAAAATATCAAAACATCTTATATTTTAAAACATCAATTTTTTCTAGAACATCTTATATTATAGAACGGAGGGAGTAATTAGTAGTCTACGGTCAATTATGAAATTCATAATAGATTGATATTCTAAATGAAAACTTACTCTAGTTCACTTTTGTTTCTTCTATGAAAAATAGAGATTCCTATTTTTGCTCCATATTTAGAGGCAAAAATAACATTCATCTATTATAAAGATATATTTTTAATTTACAAATTGACCCCTTAATTATTATATTTATTGTTATGAATAATGAATATTTTTTAGAGAACTATAGTTTTTATAAATGTTGAGCTGATAAGATAATTTTTATAAAATTAACCCCTTAATATAAGTTGGGTTAATTTTCAACTTTCACAAACAAAATATATCAATTGTAAAATAGAAAATAATATTTTAAGAATATTTTTAAAAGAAAAATAAGAATACAATAATAGAAACAAACACCTCTATCAAAATATTATTTCATTTTAGAGAGAATTATTCCAACTTTTGTCCTGTCTATTTCATCAATTAAAATAACACTCACGGGAAAAAGCCAACATGTTCGTGCTGTTTTTCTAACTAAATTTTCTAAGGCCCCCACAATTTTTTAAAGGAAAGGAAACCTTTGTTTTTATCACCAAATTTAAAATCATTAATTAAATAAACAACTATCAAAATCCTAAACGATAGTAATCAGAAAACATTTAACAAATTAATATAGTTGACATATAAAACTTTAATGTTTAAAAATAAATAAAAACCTTATTTTGGGATATTTCATATATCATTATTTTATGTTATCATCGCAAACATAATTAAATAATAACGAAACTAGCATTTTGTGATATGAATCGCAAATACACATCTTTAGTACTCTGTTTTAAATTTCCTTATACAAAAGTGTTTCACACAGAAAATAGTTTGTTTTTGAAACTAACTATAATGGAATTCAAGTTGCGTTAAGCTTAATCAGGGAACCTTTGTTATATACTGTAATCTGTTAAGTACTGGAAAATTAGCATAACAATTCATAGAACTCTTCTATGTTATATTCAATTATATGTGACATATTCTTAATACTTATACAATATGTTGGCGTTGCTCTCTGAACTGAAATAGTTGATTGCTCCAGAGAAGAGTAGACAAAAATCCTTCCTCAAGCAGCCCACCACTATGAAATTATATAAACATCAAAATTTAGGTTAGTTTTAATAAATGTATACAGTACAAAGTTGACTTCACAAGTTACAATGTGGTAATATTAATTAAAGGATTTTGAAAATAGTAACAAAAATGCTAGGATCGAGAGAGATGACTTATTTGCTAAAGAGTCTATCAACTTCCTCTTAAAGGGTCTCTATATATATATATATACTTAAACGCCAAAGGATTTAACATAGATCCAGAAAATCCTCAAACAATAAATCAGAAGTTTAAAGACATGAAGCAACAATTTTGCATGGTCGCCTTCTTCGTATTCAGCTTCCTACTGGTAAATTCTTCTTTATATTACCCTAACTATCTGATTCATATATGTTTTGGTCCAAATCTGATTCATATGTACATGTATATATATATAACAAATTTTATATTTTGTTTGTATAGTTTGTGAATCTGAGTGAAGGAAAATCAGGAGTTCCAGAGGATTATTGGGAGAAGATGATGAAGAAGGAACCCTTACCTGAACCAATCACAGATATTCTCAACAATCCATTTAGGAAAGGACAAGAGAGGTTCGTCAAGAATTTCAACACCAAATCTATCGTCATCATCTACCACAATCCTAATGCATAATTGATTAAATCTATGTATAGGGTTATACATGCACGTATATGTGTGTGTTGTTTAATCAAATAACATAATAAAATATGCTTGAGTTGTTATGGACTTATTCTACCTTTATCTTCATAGTGAAATTTTTTTTTAACCCTAGACATAGATCCACTTCCAGCCAAGTCAGATAACACCTAGAACACCAAAATGATGCCCTTTAACCATTAGAAACTTTTTTACTGCATTTTATAAGCATATAATCAAAATAATGCAACATGAAATTGATAGTTTCTGATTTTATTTTTTGGGCAAACTTTTTCTAGAGGTCCATGAAAAAGGTTACAACACATGAAATCATATTTATGAGACAAAAATATAAGACAATCTATATTATAATGATACACTTTCAAGGCTCCTAAGCATATCCACCTCAGCAAGTTTACGGGCCCCACGTATGTTATTAGGTAAAACAAAAACGTATAACATTTTGTAAGATTAAATATTATCGATGAGTGATGAAATAGCCCAGTGGTGTAAGTGGGTGACTAGAAGTTGGTACCGCGAGTGCGCGGGTTCAAAACGCAGTGTTTGCATGTAATTTTTTTTTTAATTTGGGCTTTTCAGGATACCTAAAAGCTTAGGGAGATTCAAAATGATTTTTTATGCTGATTTTAGGATACAAAATGGCTTAAGGATTTGAAACTTTATGAGACCATCTTAGATACTTTTATAAGAAATGTTATCATGTTCTAACCTCCAATATCATTTCAATTCAGTTATAATAATGAAATAAAATAAAAACATATTTTTCAATAATAAATATTTACCCCGAACCATTCAGATCGGCCATAAATCTCACATACATCACAATTAAAAAAGATATATATATATATAAATATACAACATAATTTCAGAAAGAAAATTACACTAATAAACACATGTCATTTTTTGTCTTGTCTCCATTAAATTATTTTTTTACATGAAAGCACTAATAATAGTAATGCTCGATAAAATCACTAATAAAGGGAATGCTCGATAAAATCACTACGAAGATAAAATATGAAAATATCAACCCATATGAATTTGATGTTTATTCTTTTATCAGACTAAACAAGTTGTGTGGCTTCTAATGTTTCATTCATCACCATTATAGATAAGCCAGATAAACAAATGTTAAAAAAAACAGCAAAGTCTCATACACAAAACTACACAACACATCAACAATGTATCGAACCCCGCGCTTGCGCGGAGGCTATGCATCTAGTGGATATAGTAAATCACTTTGGACTAAGTAGAGAAGAAAACATACCGGAGAGAAGACAAAACGTAATCAAATAATTGACATAATCTGTTGGCAATTTCAATGTAAACTGAGGAAGAAATCATATTTATGAGACGAAAATATAAGACAATGGATATAGTTAATCACTTTGGACTAAGTAGAGAAGAAAACATACCGAAGAGAAGACAAAACGTAATCAAATAATTTACAGAATCTGTTGGCGATTTCGCTGTAAACTGAGAAAGAATTCAAAAAGAAGAAATTGAATGGTTACAACTTACAACTTACAAGTGACAATCTAGAGAGAAAAGGAAGTTAGTTTTCTTTTAATTCAATTGTTTCTCTTATATAACTTAATATAATAATACATTATCCAAAAAAAAATATTAAATCATCATATTTTTGAATGTTATAAGAAAAAGTACGCAAACTGTGAAAATATGAGGTTCAAAACCTATTACTAGGAACGGCGATGCAAGAGATAAAATGAAAGTATAAATAAAATGATCCTCTAACCAGAGCTTCTAGTTCAAGTGGTAAAGGTTTACAGTTATGAGTATTGCCATCTCGATTCGAATCCCGGCCACTGAAGAATTAATATTTCGGTATCGCCAGGGACAGAGGACCGACACGTGGCAACATGTGACTACTGTATAATTTAAAAAAAAAATGATCCTCCAAAGACATACGTAATATTTTGCGTCCAAACCCTTAGGTTAATTGGCTTGGGTTAATTTAGTTAAGGCTGGACATGCCTTAGTCAGGACCCGGCCATGCATATAGGTTTGACACTATTTGTTTGAAAGATAAATTTACTAGATAGTGGAAATTATATTTTGATAAAATTGTTAGGCTTATTTAATTACATAGAGTTTGTTGGATCCGTATAGAGCTATCTCTAATATATAATTAGAAAATAAGTTTTCTACGTGTCTCACGTTAATTATTATGACGGTTATTTACAAATATGTTCTTAATCAGTTCAAAATATTATATCCGGTTGCTATTATTAAAAAAGTTCATTTAATCATTTATGCTAATTCAATTTTAAATATTTGTTTTTTTTTTACTTTATATCTTTCCAAATAACATATATAATAGAAAATGAAATATTTTATCAAATATAAAAACGAAAAGGTATAAAATAAGGAAAGAAAACATATTTTATGAAAATAAATTATATTAATATTTGAGCAAAAAAAAAATATATATATATATAGTGTCATTTTATAAAAAGAAACTTCACAAAGAAAAAAATCTTTGTATTGAAAAGTAAGAATGATGAAAACCATTAAATTATAAAAAAACCTGCAATCTTGTGTCTGGACTTGTACTTAAAATATTACATCTTGCCCTTAAATTAAAATGTACTTTTACGTATACTAACAATACATAACTAATATTCCATCTGTGAATAAAGAATGTCATTTTAAATTTTTTATTTTGTTTCAAAATAAATGTCATTCTATATTCTCAATAGAGTTTTTATATTAAACTAGATCCATTTCCCGGGCTACGCCCGGGTTGTTTGGTTGAATTTTTTTTTTTAATACTATTATAAAGAAAAGTTTCTCAGTTTTACCTATTTGAGTTCTCACTATAAAAAAATTTAGATTCATAAATAATTTAAATTTTGATTTTGATTTTAAAATCAGTACTGAGTTTGGAAATATTTATTTTCTCCTTAATTCATATGAGATTCTCCATAGCTAACTTGAGAGATGGATCGACTCTGTCCGGGTCCACACTCTTAAAATAAAAAAGAACCTTTTTACCGGTAAAAGAAGATTCAATTCACTTGAACTTAATGCCATGTAATGGTACGCGAGCTGACCCAAAATGGATGGTATTATGGTTAAAATAGTGACAAAACTGACATGGAATTCAAGAGGTTCTGGAATTCAAATGACTTCAGAAGAATTGTGTACATCCCTTTAGCCGTATAGAAACTTATGAATTCTGAGTTGGTTAGGTTCATATCACATAGGATATTCAATATGCTATTACATATAATAAAATGTCATAGAAAAAAAAAGAGAATGAAACTTAACATGATTATATGAAAATGATTAATACCTCGGAAAAGGAACAAACTTGAAACTTTTCAACGTGTTATATTATTTCATGCTTTTTGTAATTTATGAAAGGCCATTAGAGCCTTTCCACTGATGGAAAAATCCATTTGGAGTTTTTAATGTTAAAGAATAATATGTGAAATAGCAGTTCAATGTTTAATTTATTTTTTTTTGTTCAATCAGAAAATGCCAACATACTGGTTTTTAAAAGTATCTTGTGAGATTAGGTTTGAATAAATTCATATGTTTCTCTTCCATATCTTTTCATTATGTTTAACTTTTTAACAAATTAGATACCCATCAAAAACGTCCAATGGAACTCTTTTAGGAAGCTTTAGATGTTTAAGCATTTGCATGTAACCCTCACATTTCATCATTTCCAGAGTAAAAAAATAATAAGATAAATTT